CTTGTTTTTACCTACTTTCTCCATTCAGTTCTTAGCCTCACTAATCCTTATTGGATTCAATTGTGTATTTGAATTGCAACTGCGATCAGGACTAGTTGGTATTGATCATTTCTAGCATTTATTTTCATTAATTACTTGCTTCATTCTGTTCTTAGGCTGAATTATCCAATTCTATTTGCATTCAGTTTCTATTTGAATGGCTAGCGCGATCAATGTTTACTCAGTGTGCATTCTTTCTTCATTCAGTTCTAAGCCTCATTTTTCCTTGATGGATACAATCTTTTATTTGAATTGCTAGTGCAATCAATGGTTACTTGGTATTCATCCTTTCAAGCATAATTGGGTACTATTATTTTTTGGTAATTACCTGCTTCACTCAGTTCTTAAGGATAACTTTTTTTACTTGTTAGAGAAGCATAATGTTTTCAATAGTTAGGTATACAGTCTGCTTTGTTTCTCCCTTGTCCGCAAAGCAAAAATGACATAATCACTATTTGAAGAGTCAAAAAGGTATTTGAAAAATACTATTTAAGAAAAAGGAAGAAATCTATACACTGAAAGATTAGATTAGTTGATTTCTACTTCAAATATAATCATCCTTGCAGCTATGGAGGAGTAGCATTGCGCCAAAAATAATATCATGCTGCTCTAGCAACAAACTTATCTGATTCAATTTTATTGGTTTATAACCTTTCAGCTGGAGACTCTTCCTGAATTGATTGCTGGGGTTTGGTCTGATGACAGCAGTTTGCAACTTGAATGTACAACACAATTCCGGAAACTGCTTTCAATTGGTCAGTGTTGCTTTGCTTTTTTCCTAAATGTATTTCTGTTTGATCACCTTGACAATGAATGTTTTTCCTCTCTGTATCTTTGTGTCTTAATTAGTATGCGTGTTCACTTCTGGTTGTTTTGGCAGAACGCAATCCTCCTATAGAGGAAGTGATACAGTCTGGGGTAGTTCCTCGCTTTGTTGAATTTCTTGCTCGAGATGACTATCCTCAACTGCAGGTTTTTTTACAAAATCTATTATTTTTGTTTTTTGTTTTGCAGTTCCATCTTTATTTCTAATGTTTACATAATTGGCATTCTATAATCTAGTTTGAGGCAGCGTGGGCTCTTACAAATATTGCATCTGGTACATCAGAAAACACTAAAGTTGTGATTGATTATGGTTCTGTCCCAATTTTCATCAGACTTCTAAGTTCACCAAGTGATGATGTCCGTGAACAGGTAAAACTTTATATATAAGAGGGCTAAGCTTTCATGTTTCTTCTCATAATTGTCATGATATTATGTCTATTTTTCTTAAAAAAATTGGGGTTACGGGAAGGAGTAATGGGGGAGAGAATTACAAAGTGGAAATCAAACCCTCACTGGCAAGATGAAAGTTCAAGTATTCAACCAACTTAGCTACTAAGATTCTCCTGATATTGTATGTATTATGCCAATTTATTTCTGAGAAGTTAAAAATTCTTTTATTTTGATATTTTTTTTAAAAAAATTTATAGGCCGTTTGGGCTTTGGGAAATATTGCTGGTGACTCGCCCAAGTATCGTGACCTTGTGCTTGGCCATGGAGCTTTAGTGGCATTGCTGGCACAATTTAATGAGCAGGCAAAGCTATCTATGTTGAGAAATGCTACCTGGACATTGTCAAACTTTTGTAGGGGAAAACCTCAGCCACTGTTCGAGCAGGTTTGACTTTAAAGATAAAGTTTGTTTGATCTTTTCAGATATTTATATTACTTTTAAAGGTTATGCCTTTTAAAATTCATCGCGCAGACAAAAGCGGCACTCCCCACTCTTGGTCGCCTTATCCACTCAAATGATGAAGAAGTCTTGACAGATGCATGCTGGGCTCTTTCATATCTTTCTGATGGAACTAATGACAAAATCCAGGCTGTTATTGAAGCTGGAGTGTGTTCCCGCCTTGTTGAGCTGCTACTGTGAGTTATAGATCTTACTTTTGAGGGTTTGTCTTAGGCTTTCGATATGTTAAAATCATAAGTTTCTTACTCCCTTCATCTTTTTTTCGTGAGTAGTCATTCTTCACCATCTGTTCTCATTCCTGCCTTGCGCACTGTTGGTAACATAGTCACAGGAGACGATATCCAAACTCAGGTATTTATCATCCTCCCAGCCAATTTTTCATGTTTGATTTTTTTTTTTCGTTTTTCCCTCTTCTCATCCTTAATTGAGTCTTTGTGTAAACATGAATTCTCAATATCTAATCCATCAGTACGTCAGATGTATCTTCATCTTTTTGTTTAGGTAAATTATGCTGGTCAGATAAAAATACTTAAAAATCTAGCTTTCGTCAATGATAATTCAATTTTTGTAATAATTCTGATAGTCAACTATATCATAATCATGATATGAAAGAAAAGAGGAGTAAAGATTGGCTAGTCAATTAGTTCTCATTAAGTTTCTACCATGTTTAAGAGAGGTTACTCACGGAAGTCTTCGCTAATTCATCCGTGTACTGCAGTCAGTCTTCAGTTATCACGTTTGCCTACCTGAGTAGGGGGTTAGTGGTGTTTGGCTGTTATGATTATTTTTAGAATAAACTTTCCATTGCCGAACTGCTCACTGGGATAGTGTTGCACCACATATTTACGGAACAAATGGTGTTACATCTCTATTTGTTCTTAGGAGAAAAAATAGGGAGAGGAAATTTTCTAAATTTTTGGTCCCTGAAACGTAAGACGAGTGAAATTGAGTTAACTTCTTTGCTATCCTGTTATTCTCCTACCAAGGTAGGGAAGCTCTAATAGGGTAGTATTGTACGGCAGAGGCATGCTCTCTTTCAGTGAGGAGTTATTTGCAACCTTCCATTTTTGTTACCTCTCAGACGTAGTGGAAATAAAATGGACATAAAAACTACATCTTTTGGTTGTTGAAGCAAATTATGTCCTACCTAATTTATCAGCTGGAATCTTTTTTGGTGGACATTGATGAATCTATATTGTTTAGGTTATGATTGACCATCATGCTCTTCCCTGCCTTGTTAACCTGTTGACGCAAAATTACAAAAAAAGCATTAAAAAGGAAGCTTGTTGGACAATCTCGAACATTACAGCTGGTAATAGAAATCAAATTCAGGTATGTTGTATGGTAATTGACAATTTGTGCTTCTTTATCAATTGACAGAGAACTGAAAATAAGTGAAGAAAGAGAACCTTTGCAAGATGATTCAGTTTTGTATAATGATACTGAAAGGGGTTTTAATTGAAATAGATTGTGATCGAGGCTGGCATTATTGCCCCTCTTGTATATCTGCTACAAAATGCTGAATTTGAGATAAAGAAAGAGGCTGCTTGGGCAATTTCAAATGCTACGTCCGGTGGAAATCATGATCAAATCAAGTATGGTTCCTTTAGCATATTCAGTTTCATCTGCTTAACCTTACATCTAGTTTGAAGCTCACATGTAAATTGATTTCTAGGTTCTTGGTGAGCCAAGGTTGTATAAAACCATTGTGTGATCTTCTGGTATGTCCTGACCCAAGAATTGTCACTGTCTGCTTGGAAGGGCTTGAGAATATTCTGAAGATTGGGGAAGCTGATAAGGATCTAGGAAACACAGAAGGCGTGAATGTTTATGCCCAGTTAATCGACGAGGCTGAAGGTCTAGAAAAGATTGAAAACCTCCAAAGCCATGACAACACTGAAATCTATGAGAAAGCAGTGAAGATCCTCGAAACTTATTGGTTGGAGGAGGAAGATGTGCCGGTTTCATTAAATGAAGATCAATTCGAATTTGGAGGGGCCGATATATCTCTTCCATCGGGAGGATTTAACTTCAGTTGATGGGGTATGTTATTCTTCCCTTCTTTTTTATGATTATTTCCCCTCTGTTAACGACGGTTTCCTTTGAAAACTTTTGTTCTTTTGAGCACCTGTTTTATGGTGTAAATTATTTAGCATTAGGATGTGTTAAAATGGTGTTTGAGCGATGATGTAAAGCTAGTCAACCTTACCTTTGATTTAGCAAAAATGGTTTGTTGCAGTTAAAACTTGTGGTAGTTTCTTAATGTTTAATTCTTTCCAGGTTTGGCTAGCAGGTCAGTGAGTGGTTTTAAATTGGAGAAACATCCTCTTTAAACTATGTGTAGAGAGAGTTGTCATCTACTTGGGGGAGGTTTGGATTTTACATATATTTTCTTCTATTTATTGATGGAGTTGGTGTTGTATAAGTTACTTTTTCCCCTAGACTAGACATATTGGTGGTGGTGGATATATATATGTATACATGTTAATGTACAAGTCATACGTGGGCTCTCCATGACATTATTTGGTGTAAACATATACTTGTTTCCATCTTTTTGTACCCTTATATGGCTTGTTTCCATCTCTGTACCCTCATTTGGCATTATCATAGTAGTTGCTTTCTGACTTAAGAAGAGATACTTCATTTACAAGAATGAGGTGCTGAAATTACTATCAATATGGAATGTGTTTGCTCCTTTTTGATCATTTGCTATATTTATATGTTCATTTTAGGGTTTTGAGGAGATAAGTACAAAAACGACGGCTTTAGAGTTTCTTGGTCTTCTTACCACTTAGCTTGATTGATACAATGAGTGCCCAAGTGGTCCTCAAGCCAACCCAACTCCACATTATAAAAAAGAACAAACAATATGCTTAACAAAGTGTACATTAATATTAATGAAAAATGAGTTTTGAGTTTTACGTTCTAATATGGCAAAAATCTACTTACAAAAATTAAATGACATGTTATAAGCCGTTAATTTAATGTGGTGGAAAATCTAAAAAATTATTTACACAAAAGCTTGAAATTCTAGAGAAGTTAGTATCTCAAAGAAATAACAGCTCACAAATACAAAATTTTTGAAGTTAATCGACAATGAGAATGTGCTAATTCTACAGCCACTTTTATTTTTACAGCACCAAAAGTTGAAAACAAACTAGTAACAGCTTTTTCATCTATCAAGATCCACTCTTTTTTTATGGATTTAATTGCGACCCCCCAAAATTATTACTGCTCCACTACTACTTGTTCATCTGCTCTATCTCTTATGCCTTTCTTTCTTGATATCTGCACATTGTACAAAACCTTAAAAAATATGAACAGTTATAAAATAGTAGTCTTGTTTAGAGGGTTCAAAATTAGAGCAAGAAGAAAATTGCAACACCAAAAATGAGACAAGTGACTAAAGGGTGTCTTTCTAGGTGAATGGATTTGGAGGTAGGTGGTGGTGGGCTGTGAAAATAGAAAGGAAAATATGGTACAATTGGATTTGGGGGTGGTGGAGTTGGGTAGTTATTAGTCGGTGGTGGATAGTTTCCACTACCATTCGCATCACCCTCGCCACCATTGTTGCCCCCGCTATTGTTCGGGGGTGACACATAAACTGGTGGCGGGGGTGGGCAAATATAGCCCGATGAAGAGGGTGGATAAAGTTGAGGAGGAGGTGGTGGGGGTGAAATTGGCTGACAAGTGTTGTCACAAGAAGAGCACATTGTGCAAGAAAGTTGGTCTTTGGCCATAGCTGTGATTGTTGACATAGCTTGAGAATCATAGTGGTTGAGTGAAATCAAGAAAAAGAGAGTAAAAATATGGAAAATGAATTGAGAATGTGGGGGTGAGAGAGTCCCCATTTTGATCAAATATGGGGAAGAATGTTTGGGGATATAAAAAGAAAGTAGAAGGAGAAGGGTAGCTTATATTATGTCACCATAAAATATGAAGGAGATGAGTGGAAACAATTTTTTACAATTTAAAATGTAGCAAATGTGTACACACAGATTAGAAGAGAATTCTAACTTGAATAGTCATGTATATTACTTTTTTTTCTTTTTTTTAGAATTTGATAAACTCTTATTAACGTTCGACTATTTCACATAAGGCTGAAGAAAATTTTCTATTCAAAACTAAATTTTGAAATCTTTTTTTTTTTTTTTAGAAATTATGTTGGAAGGTATCATTAAGGAAATACAATTATATTTATTTAATCGTTTAAGTGGAAATAAATCTATCTCAAGCTTGATAAATGATATCATATCTACATATACTCTCATGTGAGGAAGTGTGCAGAAAAAATCATAAATTATACCATCTCCGTTTCAAAAAAAAAACCTAGTTTGACTTGGAACGGTGTTTAAGAAAAGAAAGAAACTTTTTAATCTTGTGGTTCTGAATTAAAGTTATATCAAATGTATCAAAATGCCCTTCAATCTTGTTGTGTTAAACATGTCATGTAGAAAATTAAAGTTTAAATATTGCCAAAAAAAAGAAACTATTCTTTTTAAAACAAACTTAAAAGGAAATAAAGACATTCTTTTTATATGTATTGAGAAGTGTTTTTAAAAAAAAAAAAATTTGCTATATAAAAGCGAAGCTAGTAATCTGCAGGTTGAGTTGATTGAATTCAATAAATTTTATTCAAAAAGTATATTTATGCTAATAAATTTATTGAGCGTTTAATTCTTTTATGTTATAAATTCCCTTCATAAAAATTCAGAATTGGTCGCTGAGTTATACCATGGGAGATTGCATGTGTATTGATGAGCGTACCTTTATTCAATCGTTTATTATAATGACAAAGAAAATAACAATATGCATATTACTACAATTTTTAATACATTGCAAGGTTGGCGCTTTGTCTGGGCTGCTACCACTGAAATTCTTCATTTATCTTTTTGTCACGATCTAAATATTTTTTTCATTGCTATAATGAAATTCCGTGGGAATTTAGTTAGCGGTAGATTTACATTTTATTTGATTATAAATTTTAAAAGTAATTTTTTTTCTAAAAAATAATAAAAAAACATTATCATTTGTTGGAAAAAGAACTTATTTTATGGAATTTTTTAAATAACTCACTGATCATCACGTGAATTTTATAAGGCGATCTATTTATAAATCCTTTCTGTTAGTTATTATTGTTTCTATTTTATGAGCGTTATTTAAAAAGTTACATTATTATTTTATCGCGTCAAATCATTGGAAAAGTTATATATTTATTTTTAAAACATTTTCTTATTGGGTAAATTGAAAACTGAACTGTTAATAAGGACCAAAACCAACAAAAATGTCTTATTAATTTAGTTATTGATTAAGTATATCTAAAAATTAAAAATTAATAAACTGAGAGCCTGTTTGGCTCAACTTAAAAGCTGGTCAAACTGACTTAAAAACTGGTTTTTGACTTATTTAGCTGTTTGACAATACTCAAAACAACTTATTTCAAGTTAAAAAAAACTTATTTTAAGCCAAAAGTTAAAAACTGGGGTAGGGGTGCTTTTTTTTTTAGCTTATAAGCTGTTTTAAGTTGACCACATTTTTATCTTTTTGTGCTTAATATTTTTATACAATCTCCAAATTACCCATATAACCCTAACATTTCTTTCTTTCATTTTTTCCTTTTCACGTTTGACATAACAACTTCAGCACTTTTATCCAAACGCATAACTGCTTATTTTAAAAATAAGCTTCAACACTTTTAAAAGAACTTTTTTAAAGCTGCTTTTATTAAGTCCATCCAAACGAACCCTAAATTAATACTAGAATTCAACCGAACTCATCGATGCACACTCTTAATTTAAAACATCTATTTAATTTTGTCTTTAAATTACTAATATATTTGAACCATACTTACCTTCTACCTTTAATTTTGAGATTATAAATTTAAGTCATCAATATAGTAAAAAGTAGTTGGGGAGGTAAAAATAAAAAGATGTTTGAGTAACTAAAAATAGGGGGAAAAACAATGCACCAATGACGTGGTCTTTGTCTTGACAACCTCACCGACAATGACAATACTTTCCTTTGAAAAGTTATCACTTACATTAATACTAAATTACTTTTATTTTTTTGAAATTTAATTTACTATTTTTTTGAAGTAAGATTAATTTAAACATTTAAAAGTTATATAGAAAAACTCTTACATCTTAATATGTTGGTCGTAATACATGTAATTTAACTTAAAAAAAAATAAAATATGATTAATATTTTGAGGCGGATGAAATAATATTATATTTTTTAATATAATAGATAATACAATATAATATTTAAATCTTCGTAAAATACGGTTAAGGTATTACCTTGGGAACATAAGAGAGATACTCCTTAGTTTCGGGAATCTTGTGAACAAAAAAAAATAAAATAATTCAACGCCATCCACCTAAATCAAGGGACTATAGTTCTCTAACCGTATGATATTTATAATTTACTGATTATAATGAAAATTTAAATATGCATGACTCAACTAAGGGAAAAAGGTTTGTTATAATTTTTTTAAAAATAATTTCTAAAACTTGAATTTGAAATAGTTAATAGAGATTTCGTCTGTCCCACAAAATTACCACATCTGTCGGTGGTATTTGAAGCAATTTTTTTGAATAATACGTTGTCAAATTAAGTGTTTTTACCAAATACTTCCTCAACTTTGATTTATTTGTCTTATTTTTCTTTTTATATGTATAAAAATGTATTAAATTTTTTTACAAATTTCCACATTGCATGTGCAAGACCGCAAGAACAAAAAACATGTATATTTGACATATTTCTAAATCAAACGTATATATTCTTAATTTTCTTAAACTCCGTGTCAAGTGAAGATCAAACAAATAGAAACAAAAAGAGTACAAGTTGATGGGCTTTCAAATGAACATTGAGCCCAGTTGAGTTGAAAGACAATCTTCAGCCCATACCCAATTCCCTCCACTTTAAATCCGCCAAAATGAAATTTGAATTTACATTCAAAATTTCATCCCAAAGAATGAAACACAAAAACACGGAAACAAAATCCATGTCAATCGCAATGAAGGCTTCAAATTCATCTTCAAATGTTCATCCACCTTATTTACAGGTAAATTCTAATTTATAGAGATTTACACTTTTGTTTGATAGACTCGATAGTAAATGCTCGTATACACCGTCAGTGATGTAGACTATGATTGCTGAGTTTAATTGATCCAAATTTTGTGATAGATCATTCATAATAGATTATGAACCTATAATTAATTTCACAAGTGCAATCGGTTTGGTGTTTATCACATGGAATTTGGAACGAATCAAATTTGAATTTCGGATCCACCTTTGTATGATGTATTTCATCGTGCCTCAAAAATTTGAGTTTTGAATTTATTTCTAAGCGTCCATCCACCATATTTACACGTACTGTTTATAATATTTTGTTAGTTCGAAGCTGAGTTGAGATGTTAGCTCGAACTTGATATGGAGTTTTGATGATTTAACGAACTTGATATGAAGTTTTGATGATTTAACAAACTTATCGATCTAACAAGGAACCAGATCCTTGTTATTGGAATGTTGACAATGAGATGAATGATAAACTCTGTGTGAGGTATATTTGTGTGCTATGATAAAATAAGGGGAAAATGTTATATTCTAGGTGTTTTGATGATCCTCAACAAATGCAGGGACCTAGTCCCTTATAGAGTTCTCTCGTCCAGATACAAATGGGGTACATTCGTAAAAGCTAGCATATCAGGTGGTAGGTGAAAAATGCAGTGTCCTACACCAATAAGAAGAGCGAAAGAGATAATATATTTCACCACAAATTCGTTGAAACCATCCCATTGGCTGAAGGCCTGCTGTTGGAAAAGCTGTGCACCTACCGCATTAGAGGTGACAACTCTTTTGACACCTGTTTTTTCACCTTTCACGTCGTAGTCTTGCGGGGACCAGGTCCCTTTCTTGCGGTCTTGTTAGAATATGTGCATCCACTACCTGTCAACGGACCAGGTCCTTTTGACACAGCAAGAACAGTCCTAAAGATTAAACAATATGAAGAACACAACACAAGCAGTTTACGTCGAAACCTCCTTGCTCAAGGGAATAAAACCACGACCTGTTGCACAGGATTTACATCCGTCTTCACTAATCTTCTCAAGCAAAAGTGAAATCCGGTTACAATCAATGTCAGAAAAAGTTTCTAATCTCACGATCAAGTAATCTACCTATTACTTGGAGAGCCTAAGCGGATACAACACCGTCCACTAAGCTATCACCCCTAGATAACTTAGAATTTGCTAAGAGGATACCACACCGCCTACTAAACCACCTAACTCTAGATGACTTAGAATTTGACTAAGCATCAAAACAATATTGCCCACTAAATCAGTTAACATTAACTGATTTAGACTTTTACAAACCCAAAACAAATATATAAATCCTTTATAGATTAGAAACAGATTTACAATGTAAGGATATAGACACAAAGCTCTAAATACAACAAAGATTCTTTTTTACTCTATTACGTCCTTATGTTAAGTTGAGTAGTGTTCTTCCTTGAAGATGACCTTCTGTTCAAGCTTGTGAATTTTCAGAGGAAACCCAAGTTTAATTTGCCAAGTATTAAATTTGTTTTTGTTGGAAAGAGATAATATATTTCACCACAAATTCGTTGATGTGGTGAAACCATCCCATTGGCTGAAGGCCTGCTGTTGGAAAAGATGTGCACCTACCACATCAGAGGTGACAACTTTTATGACAGCTGTCTTTTCACCTTTTCACGTCGCAG